GATGAGAGAGAAACATCAATCAGCTGCCTCCTGCACATCTCCCACTGGGGATGTGCCCGAAACCCAGGTACATGCCCTTGACCGGAATCGAACCTGGGACCCCCCAGTCCGCAAGCCGATGCTCTATCCTCTGAGCCAAACTGGTTTCGGCAAGATATGCTTTCTTACATGGTAACATTTATGGATTGAGACTCTCTACATCCCTGCTTACCTTGCTATTTTCTTAAATATATTTTTATTGATTTCAGAGGGAGACAGAGATAGAAACATCAATGAGGAGAAAGACTCATTGATTGGCTGTCTCCCGCACACCTCCTACTGTGGATCGAGCCCACAACCCAGGCATGTGCCCACACTGGGAATCAAACTGTGACCTCCTGCATCATAGCTTGATGCTCAATCACTGAGCACACCAGCCAGGCATTGCCTTGATATTTTAACTTGTATTCTTTTACTCACCTCTGTATCTCCCCTTTATCAGAGACGTGTTACTAAAATTCTCCTAAGGATTCCACTTGCAAATCATCCTCCCAAGAGACAAAATATGCTTAACCAACTATTGCTAAAATAACACTAAATGGTCACACAAAAAGTCGCAAGTACAACATAGTCTTCTTATTCACTTCATGTGGCATTGCCCTATCAGAATGGATGTTGTCAGGTTCTGTGTTTGGTCAGCAATAAGGAGAATACCCTGGACAGGTTATAAGAGAAAACATGAAGGAGAGATTCCAGGCAAGTACAGGGAGGGGGACCATGCCTCTGGGAACTTCAGAATATATCCCCTCTGCTTCTCTGGGTCAGTATTTGCATTTCAGCCCCGCTGGCATAGCTCGATGGTTGAGCCACAAGCTATGAACTAGTTCAGTGATGGCGAACCTATGACACGCGTTTCAGAGGTGACACGCGAACTCATTTTTTTGGTTGATTTTTGTTAAATGGCATTTAAATATATAAAATAAATATCAAAAATATAAGTCTTTGTTTTACTATGGTTGCAAATATCAATAAATTTCTATATGTGACACGGCACCAGAGTTAAGTTAGGGTTTTTCAAAATGCTGGCACGCCGAGCTCAAAAGGTTCTCCATCACTGAACTAGGAGGTCATGGCTCAAGTACTTGGCAAGGCACCTGCCTGGGTTACAGGTTTGGCCCCCACTAGGGGGCGTGCAGAAGGCAGCCAATTAATGACTCTCATTATTGATATTTCTATCTCTCTCCCTCTCCCTTCCTCTCTGAAATAAAAATATATTTTAAAAAATAAAAATGTTCTAAAGTTAAAAAAAACTATAAACTTTAATGCTTTATTGCATATCACTTATACTTTACTATCTAAAAATTGTTAAAAATAAAAACTTAGGCCCTAGACAGTTTGACTCAATGGATAGAGCATCGGCCTGTAGACTGAAAGGTCCCAGGTTCGATTCCGGTCAAAGGCACATACCCGAGTTGTGGGCTTGATCCCCAGTAGGGGCGTGCAGGAGGCAGCCAATCAATGATTCTCTATCATCATTTGTGTTTCTATCTCTCTCTTCCTCTCCCTTCCTCTCTGAAATCAGTAAAAATATATTAAAAACAAAACAAAAACTTAGACCTTCTACTCAGTAAGTATGGCAGCTCCATATTGACCCCAAAGCTCTTCTGTCCTCGAGTGGTCAGCCTGGCCTCAGTGGGATGTGGCCAGCAATGAAGGGCAGATGTGGTCATTACCAGGACTGTGATAATTGTTTCTTAGGTTCATACCGATGTCAAACTGTAAAAAAATGGCTAAAGATTTCCCTGGCAGGTGTGGCTCAGTTGATTGGGGTTCCATCCTGTACAACAAAAGATAAGATAGGGGTCTCATTCCTGGCCAGGTCACAGACCTCCCTCGGTTGCGGGTTTTATCCCCAGCTGGGGTGTGTATGGGAAACAATCGATCAATGTCTCCCTCTCACATAGATATTTCTCTCTCCCTCTCTCCCCCTTTCTTTTTCTAAACATATGCTTGAGTGAGGATTGAAAAACAATGGCTCAAGATAAAAAAACAACACACTTTATGTCCCAATCTTTTGGGAAAACAGGTTTGACTACGCTATATTCACTCCACTGCCTTCCTCCTTATGGTCTATACCAAGGGTCCTCAAACTACGGCCCGCGGGCCACATGCAAATACAAATATTGTATTTGTTCCCGTTTTGTTTTTTTACTTCAAAATAAGATATGTGCGGTGTGCATAGGAACTTGTTCATAGTTTTTTTTTTAAACTATAGTCTGGCCCTCCAACGGTCTGAGGGACAGTGAAGTGGCCCCCTGTTTAAAAAGTTTGAGGACCCCTGGTCTATACTATAGACTTTGAGTGTGGCTCTTCCTAAGCCTTAGGAGTACCCTAATTAAGTTAATAACAATGTACCTACCTATATAGTTTAAGTTTAAAAAATTTGGCTCTCAAAAGAAATTTCAATCGTCGTACTGTTGATATTTGGCTCTGTTGACTAATGAGTTTGCGGACCACTGTCCTACATAACAAAGTATGTTAAGTAATGAACATTTCCACCTGAGTCAACAGGAATGCGGCCCAGCTCAACGGCCACATCATGGACCCCAGGCCTCTCTTTTCTTCTCTCGTCGTGTCGTAATGGCTTTGAGGTAGACATAACTAAGAGGCTACAGGAATCCACAAAACGATTGGATGATCATTTTTATTTTTTCTGACCGTGATGGCAGCTTCCCAGGATGAACATGCCAGGGTGCCCTGAGCTCTGTGCACACTAATCGTGCAGTCACCGTCACAGACACATTTCTGGCTGCATGTTTTGAAGAGGAACAGGCCACCGAGTCGGCCGCAGTCTCCTCCAATCCCTATTAGGCCAGTGATTCTGTACCAAACACTGTGATTTTCCCGGGACCGTCTTTCAACCACTGACCACAGCCCAGCGAATTGTGGAACAATTGTGGCACGTGACACTTTGAGACCAAAGAAATATATATCCCCTACCAGTGGTTCTCAACCTTCTGGCCCTTTAAATACAGTTCCTCATGTTATGACCCAACCATAAAATTATTTTCGTTGCTACTTCATAACTGTGATGTTGCTGCTATTATGAATCGTCATGTAAATATCTGATAAGCAGGATGGTCTTAGGCGACCCCTGTGAAAGGGTCGTTGGACTGCCAAAGGGGTCGCGACCCACAGGCTGAGAACCGCTGCAGTGCCAATACAATCTGGGAGATCTGCTCTGGGTGAAGGAACCATCATGCTACTCTCATAGGTACCTGAGGATCTCACCTGCTCCCTCAGGGTCATCGCCAAGACCCCTCAAACGCAGAGCAACCAAATCAGGACCAGAAAGTCTTTCAGTCCTTCCTGGGAGGCTGTGGACAGCGACTCAAATTTGGTCAAAACTGGCCAGTCGCCCTAGCTGGTTTGGCTCAGCGGATAGAGCATCGGCCTGCGGACTGAAGGGTCCCAGGTTCGATTCCGGTCAAGGGCATGTACCTGGGTTGCGGGCACATCCCCAGTGGGGGGCGTGCAAGAGGCAGCTGAATCGATGTTTCTCTCTCATCGATGTTTCTAACTCTCTATCCCTCTCCCTTCCTCTCTGTAAAAAATCAATAAAATATATATATATATAAAAAGTGCTATTTAAAAATAACCAAACAAAAAAAAACTGGCCAGTCATTTCTGCCATTGCACAGCCTGTCCATAAGCAGAGAAATGTTGAGATCCCCCCTTACAACGTTGTTCACCTCTTCATGCTTGTAGAGCCTGAATCAGGTTATACACAACCCCATACATGAAAACGAATAAGCAAGATTAAAAAGAATTAAAAGCCCTGGACGGTGTGGCTCAGTGGTTAGAGAATTGCCCTGTGCACCCACGGGTCATGGGTTCGATCCCCGGTCAAGGGCACTTACCTGGGTTGCATGTTCCATCCCTGGCCCCAGCTGGTGTGCGTGTAAGAGGGAACCAAGCCATGTGTCTCACTCACATCAGTGTTTCTCTCTCTCTTTCTGTCCATCCCCTTTTCTATTCCTCCTTTCCATTCTCTCTAAATATCAGTGGGAAAAATATCCTTAAGTGAGGATTAAAACAATAACAACAAAAAGAATTGAAAGAGTAAGACGTCGCCCAGCCAGTATGGCTCAATGTTTGAGCATCGACCTATGAACCAGCTGGTCACGGTTCCATTCCCAGTTAGGACAAATGCCTGGGTCATGGGCTCGATCCGCAGTAGGGGGCGTGCCAGAGGCAGCTGATCAGTGATTCTCTCTCATCATTAATGTTTCCATCTCTCTCCCTCTCCCTTCCTTTCTGAAATCAACAAAAAACACATTAAAAAATAGAGTAAGGCCTTGTCTTGGCCAGTGTGGCTCAGCTGGTTGAGCATTGTCTGATGTACCAAAAGGATGCTGGTTCAATTCCTGGTCAGGGCACATGTTCAGGTTGCGGGTTCCATCCCTGGTCGGAGCGAGTGCATGAGGCAATCAATCAATGTTTCTCTCTCCTCCTCTCCCTCTCTCTAAAATAAATAACAAAATATTTTTACGAAGAGTAAATTCTGAATTATTGTATAAGCCAACGTCATGAGCAGCAGACAGTTCCAAGTTCATACACTGGACGGTGGAATATCTCATCACAAATTATCACCCTCGATGAACACGTAGTCATTTCTCTGCAAGCTGCAATTCATTACTGCAGCGTGTCCATGTCCAAATCAGTCCTAATAGGAAAGCTGATCCCCTGGTCATTTCCATTTTGCCACAATATACATGAGACCAGAGGTCAGCGTACATAAGCACATTGGGATGTCGACTATTGCAAAGTCTGTGGACCTGCCAGGTGGGAAAGGTGGAAGGAATTAGCCTCAGAATCTAGGAGCACCATAACTCGAGAAGAAGGAGGCCTGGGAAAGTCAGAACGAGAAAAATACTTACACACACTTCCAACATAAATAAAACTTATGGGGAATCTCCCCACTGTGCATATCCAGATATAAGAGTTTCAATCCAGACAAATGACTCCCCAAAATGTTTCCTCCTCAAGTGTTGTTACACCAAACAGGAAATTGCTCATTCCCGGCACACTTAAGGCCTTTTAGCAGTGTGAACTCGCTGGTGATAACGAAGTTTGGAGCCATAGATAAAAGACTTCCCACATTCACTGCACTTATAAGGCCTCTCACCAGTGTGAACTCTCTGGTGGTAGCGAAACGTCGAACTGTAGATAAAAGACTTCCCGCATTCGCCACACTTGTAAGGTTTTTCACTCGTGTGAACGCGCTGATGATAGCGGAGTTTGGAACTATATATAAAAGACTTCCCACATTCACTGCACTCGTAAGGCCGTTCGCCAGTGTGAACGCGCTGATGGTAGCGGAGTTTGGAACTATATATAAAAGACTTCCCACATTCACTGCACTCGTAAGGCCGTTCGCCAGTGTGAACGCGCTGATGGTAGCGGAGTTTGGAACTATATATAAAAGACTTCCCACATTCACTGCACTCGTAAGGCCGTTCGCCAGTGTGAACGCGCTGATGGTAGCGGAGTTTGGAACTATATATAAAAGACTTCCCACATTCACTGCACTCGTAAGGCCGTTCGCCAGTGTGAACGCGCTGATGGTAGCGGAGTTTGGAACTATATATAAAAGACTTCCCACATTCACTGCACTCGTAAGGCCGTTCGCCAGTGTGAACGCGCTGATGGTAGCGGAGTTTGGAACTATATATAAAAGACTTCCCACATTCACTGCACTCGTAAGGCCGTTCGCCAGTGTGAACGCGCTGATGGTAGCGGAGTTTGGAACTATATATAAAAGACTTCCCACATTCACTGCACTCGTAAGGCCGTTCGCCAGTGTGAACGCGCTGATGGTAGCGGAGTTTGGAACTATATATAAAAGACTTCCCACATTCACTGCACTCGTAAGGCCGTTCGCCAGTGTGAACGCGCTGATGGTAGCGGAGTTTGGAACTATATATAAAAGACTTCCCACATTCACTGCACTCGTAAGGCCGTTCGCCAGTGTGAACGCGCTGATGGTAGCGGAGTTTGGAACTATATATAAAAGACTTCCCACATTCACTGCACTCGTAAGGCCGTTCGCCAGTGTGAACGCGCTGATGGTAGCGGAGTTTGGAACTATATATAAAAGACTTCCCACATTCACTGCACTCGTAAGGCCGTTCGCCAGTGTGAACGCGCTGATGGTAGCGGAGTTTGGAACTATATATAAAAGACTTCCCACATTCACTGCACTCGTAAGGCCGTTCGCCAGTGTGAACGCGCTGATGGTAGCGGAGTTTGGAACTATATATAAAAGACTTCCCACAGTCACTGCACTCGTAGGGGTGAAAACCCTTTCCTGTGCGGACTCTGGGGTGCCTAACAAATGAGGATTTGTACCTGAGCGGTTTTCCGCACTCACTGGACACAACACACGGTCTTGCCGTATGGACGTTCTGGTCCTGAGCAAGCATGCGTTGGGGGTTGAAATCTTTCTTGCCTTCTCCAGAAGGGCCAAAGCTTGTTCTGCTCTGCGGAGTTATACACGGAGTGACTTTGGTTGGCTCCTCCCTGGTTTGAGTGAGCTGTGGCTGCCGGTGTCCCAAGCTGGGCAGGGAGTCCCTCTCACCCTGCTCAGAGGTCAAGGTCTTCCCTGACAGGTGGGTGCTGTTGCTCTTCACGAATGAGGCCTTGTCTGCACGACTTCTGAAGGGCTCCCCTCCCATGTGCTGCCCCGCAAGCTGGTGACCGTTTACACTGAAATAAAATCGTCTTGCGCACGCCCCACACCTCAGCAGTTTCTGGCTGGGCTGTGTCCCCTGATGCTCGACCAAGTGGAAAATGTCTCTCAAGACCGGCCCGCAACTCTCACAGGGGTGTCTCTTCTGGGAAGACGAGGCTGCCTTGGGATTCTTCCCCTGTGACATTCCCACAGAAACCCTCTGTTCGCCGGGTGCTTCCACATCGTCGGCTCCACAGCAGCAACCTGAGCGCAAAGAAACGCCGGTGAGATACCTGTTGACTAAAGGGAGGGGAGAACCCATCACACATACTCACGTGTCAGCCCTAGCCCGTTTGGCTCAGTGGATAGATCATCAGCCGGCGGACCGAAAGGTCCTGGGGTTGATTCCGGTCAAAGGCACACTCCTCAGTTGCAAGGTCCTCCCGGGCCCGAGCCCTCGTCGGGGTGCATGCAGGGGGCAGCCGATGGATGTGTTTCTCTAGCATTAATATTTCTGTCTTTCCCTCTCTCTTCCCCTCTCTCTAAAAATCAATGGGAAAAAAATCCTCAGGTGAGGATTCAAAACAAAACAAAACAAATTAAGTATCAAGCAAATACTATCATATGTGAAGGCAGAAAATGCAGCCACCGAATGTTCATAAAAAACGCCAATATCTACCTTTCAACAATGGGTGGATAACTAAATATTGTTCTTAATATGAAAATTTAACAAAGATATATTTCAACTGAATGACACTTTAATCCAAGTGGATCTAACAGACATACAAAGGACATCCCATGCTATCACAGCACAATACACATTCTCTCAAGTGTACACTGAATATTCTCTAGGATAGACAATTCGTAACAACACAATGTTCCAGGACAGGGGCCACCTGCAGTGTGTGGGTTCTTGACCTCATGTAGAAATTATTTTTTTTTTTAAACCCTCACCTGAGGATATTTTCCCCTGATTTTTAGAGGGAAAGACAGAGAGAAATATCAATGTGAGAGAAACACATCAATTGGTTGCCTCCTGCAAGAGGCCTGACCAGGGGCTGAGGAGGAGCCTGCAACCGAGGTACCAGCCCTGGACCGGAACTGAACCTGGGACCCTTCGGTCCACAGGCCAATGCTCTATCCACTGAGCCAAATCGGCTAGGGCTGTGGTCGGCAAACTGCGGCTTGCGAGCCACATGCGGCTCTTTGGTCCCTTGAGTGTGGCTCCTCCTAAGCCTGAGGAGTACCCTAATTAAGTTAATAACAATGAACCTACCTGTATAGTTTAAGTTTAAAAAATTTGGCTCTCAAAAGAAATTTCAATGGTTGTACTGTTGATATTTGGCTCTGTTGACTAATGAGTTTGCCGACCACTGGTCTAGGGCATAGAAATGATTTTACAATACGAGTCCAAGGGATAGTGAAGTATGTGTATAAGAGCTGAGGCAGCCATAATCGGTTTGGCTCAGTGGATAGAGCGTCAGCCTGCAGACTCAAGGGTCCCAGGTTCGATTCCGGTCAAGGGCATGTACCTTGGTTGCAGGCACAACCCCAGTGGGGGGTGTGCAGGAGGCAGCTGATCGATGTTTCTAACTCTCTATCCCTCTCCCTTCCTCTCTGTGAAAAATCAATAAAATATATTTTTAAAAAATTAAAAAAAATAAAATAAAAGCTGAGGCAATGCCAGCCGGCGTGGCTCAGAGGCTGAGCATCGACCTATGAACCAGAAGGTCACGTTCAATTCCCAGTCAGGGCACATGCGTGGGTTGAAGACTCAAGCCCCCGTGTGGGGCGTGTAGGAGGCAGCAGAACGATGACACTCATCATTGATGTTTCCCTCTCTCTCCCTTCCTCTCCGAAATCAATCAACACACACACACACACACACACACACACACACACACACACACACACACACACTCTATCTAGAGGCCCGGTTCACAAAATTCATGCACTCGGGGGTGGGAGGGCAGGTTCCTCAGCCTGGCCTGGTCCTCTCACAGTCTGAGAGCCCTTGGGGGATGTCCAACTGCTGTGAAGGCAGGAGAGGCTTCTGCCACTGCTGCTGTGCTCGCCAGCTGTGAGCCCGGGTCAGAGCGTCTAGCTCCCACAGGGGGAGCGCACTGACCACCAGGGAGCAGGTCCTGTGTTGAGCGTCTGCCCCCTGGTGGTCAGTGCCGGTCATAGCGACCGGTCGTTCCGCTGTTTGGTCGATTTGCATATTAGCCTTTTATTATATAGGATATTTAATGTTTTAAATGATTTTTTAGAGAGGGAGAGAAAATAGACACACCCATGACAGAGAAACATCGATTGGCTGCCTCCTGCACACCCCCTACTAGGGATTGCAGCTGCTGCCCAGGCACCTGCCCTGACCAGGAATGGAACCAGAAACATCTTGGTGCATGGGACAATGCTCATTCCACTAAGCCATGACGACCGGGCAATGAAGTACAGTATTTAAAAAGCTGGGAAGGCCCTGACCGGTTTGGCTCAGTGGATAGAGCGTCGGCCTGCGGACTGAAGGGTCCCAGGTTTGATTCCGGCCAAGGGCATGTACCTTGGTTGCGGGCGCATCCCCAGTGGGGGGTGTGCAGGAGGCAGCTGGTCGATGTCTCTCTCTCATCGATGTTTCTAACTCTCTATCCCTCTCCCTTCCTCTCTGTGAAAA